GGAGGAGGAGGGGGGGCTGAATGGCCTCCTGTTCCTGCTTAACAGGCTCGAGGAGAAGCGGGGTCTGAATGGCCTCCTATTCCTGTGAAACTGGCTCACGGGAGGAAGGGTAGGGCTGAATGGCCTCCTGTTCCTGTATGGTCAGTCCCCTGTGTTTGGGTTATGTTTGACCGGGGGAGAACTCACCCCACTTCAGCCTCACAAACTCCTGGGTCATGTTCACCTTTCCTGGTGGAAGAAGCACAGGAATAATTAGACATGAAGGCAGGCAGAGGGCGACATATAGCAGGAGCTCTTCTCACTCCGAACAAACGTGCTATCACGAAGAAACTACTGGGTCACCCATTCTCCCCACGGGAGCCAGTCCACCCCCTCCGTTCTCCCCATTCTCTCCCTGCGGGAGCAACTCCCCTCCGTTCTCCCCACTCTCCCCCGGGGGCCAGGCCCCCCCACCCCCTGCCCCCCCCCCCCCCACGTGGGAACGCATCCCCCCCCCGCATTCTCCACGGCCACCCCACCCCGATCCCCTAATTTAGCTGCCCTCCTGAATCCTATAAAGAGTCTGGTGTGAGGCCTGGGGTAGGGGTGGAGGGAGCGGGGTGGGGATTGGAGGGGTGTGGTGCTGGCAGGAAAGAGGCTGGCGTATCACCCTGGTGGGGCCTGGAGTCAGGCACAGGCCCCAGACCCGAGTATGGACTGAGCACATCGAGATTTCCTGAAGGGGTTCGTGAGTGGACAGCGTAGGTCTGAGGGAGGGTCGGGTCGAGGGGCAGCTGAGCCCAGGTGAGCATTTCACACAACCCCCTTCAGGATTCGTCTGGCTTGTCTGAAGTTAAACTCTGCTCCCTGCGCCCCGTTTCCCCAAAAAGCCGCCCGTCTTCCCAATGGGCCGGTGTCGAAGCGAGAGAGTCTGTCTCCCACCTTCTGGGAAGAAGTGGATCCAGTCCCCATGGTTCAACTTCTCCAGGAGGAAGTCCATCCCTTTCTGGTACACCCCGTCGCCTGGGGATATATGACAGACAACAAGAGGAGGGAATCAGAACCGGGATCTCGACTGATGTTAATCCCTCTCCCTCACACTGTCACTCAGTAACCCCTCTCCCACCCAGAGCCCTGTGTTACTGACTGTATCCCTACTGATGTTAATCCCTCTCCCTCACACTGTCACTCAGTAACCCCTCTCCCACCCAGAGCCCTGTGATACTGACTGTATCCCTACTGATGTTAATCCCTCTCCCTCACACTGTCACTCAGTAACCCCTCTCCCCCACCCAGAGCCCTGTGTTACTGACCGTATCCCTACTGATGTTAATCCCTCTCCCTCACACTGTCACTCAGTAACCCCTCTCCCCCACCCAGAGCCCTGTGTTACTGACCGTATCCCTACTGATGTTAATCCCTCTCCCTCACAGTCACTCAGTAACCCCTCACTTACCTCGAATGACAGGCACACACTTTCCCAAGCTGAAAAACTTCGAGTGAAGCTCTTTGGTGAAGCAGATATCAGCAGCTGCAGGGGTCCTGCAGGCCAAGAGAGAGAGAGAGAGAGAACGGCACGTTCGTGGACTGCCCGTGTCAGTGCTCCAAATCCCCGGCCACATCCCGCACGCACTCAGTTCTGCAGCAAGTGAGGCACTGAGATGACACCAGTCAGACAGAATTTGCACCAACGACCACGGTGTGAAAAAGCAACTGGATCTGGTCCAGGTCTGCCAGGTAGGGATTGGGAAGGTTAGATCGCACACAGCAGCGGGGTGCGCCCCAAACTGAGCATTCCCCACACGAGGAAGGCCGATTCGCTTTAAACCATCCGGCAGAGCCAGTAACATGGGGGCTCTGTTCCGCGTCTAACCCCGTGCTGTCCCTGTCCTGGGAGTGTTTGATGGGGTGACAGTGTAGAGGGAGCTTTACTCTGTATCTAGCCCTGTGCTGTCCCTGTCCTGGGAGTGTTTGATGGGGGGACAGTGTAGAGGGAGCTTTACTCTGTATCTAACCCCATGCTGTCTCTGTCCCTGGGAGTGTTTGATGGAGGGGGGGACAGTGTAGAGGGAGCTTTACTCTGTATCTAACCCCCTGTCCCTGGGAGTGTTTAAGCGGGGGGACAGTGTAGAGGGAGCTTTACTCTATATCTAACCCCCTGTCCCTGGGAGTGTTTGATGGAGGGACAGTGTAGAGGATGCTTTACTCTGTATCTGATACTCACCATCGCATACGCCTTATGTTCTTCAAATATTTTAGCTCCAAGATGCCTGTGATGGGGATGAAGAGAACCAAATGTTTTACAAAGAGAGTGGAAACACACACACACTCACACACACACACACAGGCACTAACACACACACACAGACGCACTAACACACATGCACACGCACTAACATACACACACACGCACACACGCACTAACACACACACAGGCACTCACACACACACAGGCACTAACACACACACAGGCACAGGCACTAACACACACACACACACACACACACGCGCACTAACACACACAGACGCACTAACACACACACACAGACGCACTAACACACACACGCACATGCACTAACACGCACACGCACTAACACACACACACAGGCACTAACACACACACGTGCACTAACACACACACACGCACTAACACACACACGCAGTAACACACACACACAGACGCACTAACACACACACGCACATGCACTAACACACACACGCACTAACACACACACACACACAGGCACTAACACACACACACACGCACCAACACACACACACACACGCACCAACACACACACACACGCACCAACACACACACACACGCACTAACAAACACACACACGCACACACACAGGCACTAACACACAGAGGCACTAACACACAACATAGGCACTATCACACACACACACACACACACACACACACACACACACACACACACAGACAGACACACACACACACAGACAGACAGACACACACACAGACAGACAGACACACACACACACAGACGCCTCACCCCAGATGTGTGGGTCGTCCATGCAGGACTGGTGGTTGGCGACGGTGATGAGGGGTTTCCCTTGAGGTCGTTTCTCGATGAGCTCATACAGAACCTCCTTGTTGTGGACAGTCAGGTAGTTCATGTATTCTGTAATGTGGGAGGCCAGGCAGGTTAGTGTATGTTCTCCCCCCCGCCATGTCAACACTGCTCCCCCAGTCACAGGGAGAACTCAAACACAGGCCAGCCGCCACCCTAACACACCCACCGACCCTCGTCCCCGACCCTCCCGCGGCGACCGCTCCCTCGTCCCAGACCATCCCGCGGCGACCGTTCCCTCGTCCCTGACCCTCCCGCGGCGCCCACACCCTCGTCCCCGACCCTGGCGCCCGCTCCCTCGTCCCCGACCCTCCCACGGCGCCCGCTCCCTCGTCCCCTACCCTCTGACGGCGCCCGCTCCCTCGGCCCCGACCATGCCACGGCGCCCGCTCCCTCGGCCCCGACCCTCCCACGGCGCCCGCTCCCTCGTCCCCTACCCTCCCACGGCATCCGCTCCCTCGTCCCCTACCCTCTGACAGTGCCCGCTCCCTCAGCACTGACCCTCCGAATGCGCCCGCTCCCCTCAGCATTGACCCTCCGACAGTGCCCACTCCCTCGGCGCTGACCCTTCGATGTCTCCCGCTCCCTCAGCGCTGACCCTCCGATGGCTCCCGCTCCCTCGGCGCTGACCCTCCAACAATAGGACACTCCCTCACCTTATTGAGTTGACCCCGTCTCCCTCTCCCCGTCTCCATGCCTCTCGCTTTTCTCTCCTTGTCAGCATTGTCCTTCCTCCCTCCCTCCCTGATCCCCTCTAGTCACCCTCTCCATCGCTCTCCAACCCCCCCTCGCCACTGGCTCTGCACCCCCAACATCTTTTCCTCTCTATCCATCTCAATCTGCCTCGCTCTCGCTGAGATTGCCTCGTCCCGCTTCCTCTCCCTCCGCCGTTGCCTCCTCCTTCCCCTTGTCCATCCTGACACCCTTCGTGTTGGCGTCCCTGTCTCCTGGATCCCCCACCAACCCCCGCCCCCCCCAAACCCTCGCCGTCCTGAGGCAGGTGGGTGGCGGGGTAGGGAGTCATGTCCGCCCCTCACTCAACTGGTCAAGACGCGGCTGTAGATGCCCACCACAGCCGTTACCATGGCGCTGCTGAGCGTCCAGGTCCAGCTCTGGCGGCTTGGGAATGGCCACTTCACATCCAGGGGCATCCTACCGGGGTTTTGGGGGGCGCGGGATGGGGCGTGGTGGCGGATGGGGGGTGTGTTAGGGGAGGGTAGTAAGGACTCGGGTTGAAACGACTGTGGGAACCAGCCAAGCTCTTGTTGGTGCAACTGTTTGATTGGTGGGGGTGGGGTTGCAGGGGGTGGGGGGTGTGGGGGGGGACGGGGGTGGAGGTCAGTCGAAGCTAATGTCTCAGATAGGGTAAGACGACGGTCTGGATCGATCGAGATGAGGATGAGGATTGGTTAAGTCCGGAGTCCAGAGATTGGTCAAGGCAAGGGTCAAGACCAACAAGAGACGAGAGGCCCGATTGGTCGAGGCAAGAGTCAAGACCGACAAGGGACGAGAGCCCAGATTGGTCGAGTCAAGACCGATTGAGACGAGAGCCCGGATTGGCCGAGGACCGACTGAGACGAGAGCCCGGATTGGCTGAGGACCGACTGAGACGAGAGCCCGGATTGGCTGAGGACCGACTGAGACGAGAGTCCGGGGTCGGCCGGGACGAGAGTCCGGATTGGTCGAGCCAAGGATCTGGATTGATTGAGACGAGGCTCCGGATTGGTCGAGGCCCAAGAGACCGGATCGATCGAGACGAGACTCTGGATTGGCGAAGACGAGAGTCGTTCGGATTCCTGCGCCGGGCTCGGACACCTCCAGATCCAGATCAGGCGGGCGCGCGTGGCAGGGTTCGGGGATGTCCTGCGGAGGGAAAGAGAAGGTAAGGAACAGCCGGAGGAGGGTCAAAGGGGCATGCCGGAGCGGTGGTGGTGGTGGTGGGGGGTCAAAGGTCAAGAGACGCCAACGTCCCTTTGAAAAGGTCCCCCCCTACCCCCCCCAACGTAAACGCCCCAGGATGGGGCTCTGGATCCGTGCGACGCGTTAGACCTCCCCCCCGCCCAAAAATAAACTTTTAAAATCCTCCCCAGGGTTGGGGGGTGTTGGGAGGGCGTCCTAAACATGGCAAAAACACCAAGCCGCCAATGAAGGGAATTCTGCAGCGGCGCTTTCCCCTTCCCCTCTCCCCGTTTCAAAAACGGAATTAATTTTTTTCCCCCACCCCTCCTAATATAAAATTAATTAAAAAGCCAATTTAAAACAAGGGGAATTACTTCTTTTAAAAAGAATACAAGACATTAGGTCCAGAGACCAACCTGGGAGGGTTGAGGGAAGATTGGAGGGGGGCTTATATTAAAAAAAAGAGATTTTGCAGGGTGGGGGAGTGAAGAGGTCGGGAGGGAGCCCAGCACCAGAGGCCGAGGCTTCAAAGCCGCCCCCAGAAATGACTAGGCCGCTGTTGCCGGGGGCAACGGAGAGGAGGCGTGGCCTTGAGCGCCGCGCTGTGTCGCCACGGCGCGGGCGTCCTCCCGGGTGTCGCCGGGAAATGTAGTTCCACCCGCCGTCGTCATGTGACCAGTCGTCTTCTTTCTGTTAAATTGTTTTAAATCCATACCAGATGAGTTTGTCATTTTTTCAGGATGCCTTGTCAACCCCGTTGAGCGAGAAGTAAAACGACCTTCGCTTCAGGAGTTTTAATTTTGAAGATCAGACTCACCGGGGTTATAGAGCATGCGCGCTAGGCCCGCCGGGGCTTCTGGGAGTTGTAGTTTTTATTGTCCCCAAAACCCTGGCGGCCATCTTGCCTGTGTGGCCAATGGGCCATTGACCAGGTGGGCTCCAACCCTGGGTGGGATCAGACCCTCTCCCTTTTCCATTTACCCCTTCTCATTTCATTTATTGTGACTTAGGAGGGAAAGCCGGGGCCCATTCCAACGTATTTGCGCAGCCTCCAACTGTCCCGAATGCGAAGGGCTGAATGGCCTCCTATTCCTGAGTAATAGGCTCAAGGAGGAGTGGGGCTGAATGGCCTCCTGTACCTGTGTAACAGGCTCGGGGACGGGGTGGGGGGAGCGGGAGCTGCTGATAGTCCCCGTCCCCTCGGCACTGACCCTCCAACAGCGCCTGCTCCCTCGGCGCTGACCCTCTGATGGCGCCCCATCCCTGGGCGCTGACCCTCCAACAGCACCCGCTCCCTCGGCGCTGACCCTCTGACGGCGCCCCATCCCTCGGCGCTGACCCTCTGACGGCGCCCCATCCCT